ATGATAATAAAATATAAATCGAGATTTTTCGCGTTCATCTAATCAGATGAAGAATGTGATAATAATATGCATGCCTATACTTAATTAACAGGATATTTAAGTTGTTTTTAACACAAATAAAGTACATATAAAGAGGAACATGATGATCAGATAAACTTTCTAACATCAATGAAAAATAAAATTATTGTTCTTATAGTATACAGGGTGTTAATTAATTGAGCGCCGATACTTCAGGATGTTTCAGAATTCGATATAAAGACTTACTTTCGTACGACGCACCATTTTCGCGTAAAAAAATAAAAACCAAAACAATTTTTTCCCAAGTTCATTTGAGACTGCTTTGATATTTTGTTAAAATTTGGTAGTCGCCCACCATGGATAGAAACATTTTTTGGGGGACAAAAATTCATTTTCTACTATTGCCTGTGACGTCCACGTCCGAAATAAAAATCATCCAAATATTCAAATCCTGATGTTGTATCGGCACTCAATTAATTAACGGACCCTGGATAGATAGATAAAATTCACGCTAGAATGTTGCTAATTTGTAATTATAAAATACAAATTCTTGTATAGAAATACAACATATAAACTTCATATTATAGAAAATATCTATTATAAAAAATTATATCATTCATAACTAAGTATGGTAGGATATACGTTTTATAACATGGAAATTTTTCATAAATATGCGTCATCAACATAACCAAATAATAATTTACCAATACCTAAACCAATGATTTAAACGGAATTATGTCCTATTGAGTTAATTATGTATATAGGAAACGATTCTATTAAAAATATTAAAATTTATGCCAACATAAAGTTAAGCCGAGAAAATGCAAAATTGCATGTTTGTTTACCTATTTAAGTAGGTAATAATGTTCCTTATCTGCAAGTAATGTCGACGATAAGTGAATATTACTTCATACGTCCGCCTTATAATTTACAATTTCGCACGATATTATTCAAATATGCTGGTATATATGTATTTATAAGTAAGTAGTAAAAAGTGTTGCCAATGTTATCCATCTTGAGATTTAAATAATATGATTTTATGTAGCATATAAAATATAGAGATATAAGAATTGCATTTAGAAAGAGTGAATATAAGTGAAGACTATTTAATATTATTTATTTATTTAAGGACTGTGCAGAATAAATGGGTTTATATTATAGAACAATTAAATTGGCAAGAAGCCATAATATGTTACATTGATGAATTCTCCACAAGCCATTTAAGCCTTTTCAATTGTGCACTTTATATACTTGATGCCATCGTTACATTTAAAAAATTCACATTGATGTACATTACTAGTGGAGTAATAAAAACTATTACATCATCTACCTACTATTATAAGTATTGTAGCTAATAAAATGACAGTAAACCTAATTTTCGTAGTTTATGGTTTAAGAGCAAAAAGATTTTTTAAACGTTTGTTCCATTTACCTTTTTGTTGAAGTGTTGCTATTGTTAATTAAATATAACTTGCTTCAACAGTAATTGCGCACTGGTGCATTTGTATAATTAAGCCAAAATGCGTCATGAAAAGTTAATGCACATTTTTAAAAAGTTTTTTAAAAAATTTCTGCTCTAGAATAGAATAGCACTTCCAATCAGTGAATTTGTAACCTTCACATAATCTACTTATATTAGAATTGGGTGGAATATATGACTTGATCAAACTCTGATAGTATAATCCACGGACTGCACAATTAAAATAAAACTAATTATTGAGATAAGTCAATTTTCTATAACGGTTATATTTCATAGGGTTCCTTATCCATACTTTTTATCCAATCTCTTTTAATTTTTCGACATGATATGGCCAATTTTTCATCTACGATTATGCCAATGATAGCTTAGTCATAAAATTGAGTATAAAAATTCATGCGCAAGCTCCGTAACATTTCTAACCCGTTTTGGTTTTTATAAGAAATAATTCTTCATTAAGAATATTTCGATAAATATTAATTTATAAATTATGTTTTCACGTTAAATTTCTGACTAAAAATTACGTCTACAAAGTAGTGGAAATGGTAAAAAAAATCTTGTTGGCTCCATCCGTCGCTGACCTACCTCACAGAAAAACTCGCAACAACGCCGTGCATCACGAAAAAAATGACTTTACGTCACGCACACTAATGAGCAAAAGAAATCAGTTCCGGCGCACTATTTTTGTACATTTTGCGTGGTATATGCCTGCAAATAGTAAGCGACACTGGTCGGCTTTTGGTCTTTTTTTTTGCCGTTTGGAATATTTTGGCCTAGGTTCCATGTTGGTCGATAAGCCCAGCAGCCATGTTGGCGTATCGACCAACTACGTAAGTGGCTACGCCCCGGCGTTGTCGTTCTCTTTGTGTGTGCATTGTCCCTTGATGACGATTCCCGAAGAATGGCAAGCCATTGTTGTCGACGAAAGAGCAGTTAGAATTGCAGTTGCATCAGTCAGACGTCTGCGAGCGGTAACGTAGGACGTTAATGTAGGTTATAATGTTGAAGATGGATACGACTTACATCTGGTTTCTTATGGGCTCTCCGTTTTATATGTGTGTCAAGGTCGACATTTACGGAAATGCTTCGATAAGGATGGAATTATTGAAATAAAAAATAACCTCTCCTTATTTCCTTATAATAAATTATAGTTATGCAAAAAAAGGATTAATTTACTAATAGATATCAATATTAATGAGTGATATAAAAATTTACTTATCGGGATGCACTAAAGTGAAAGCTGTTATTAGTATTTTTATTTTCCACGTTGTTTTGTCTGCAAATTGCATGTCTGGTTAGAATATTTTTGGAACGTTTGGTTTCTAATTCTCTCGGCGATTTTATAATTTAAAATCGTCTATCGATAAGTCTGATTTATCGAATAATTATTTATAAAATTATGTTAAAGTATGCAAAGTGTCGTGTAGCAGACGAATAAAATAGTAACACCCTGGAAAAACACAAAATTTCAATTTACCTCGCGACATATGCAGAGATAAGAATATACTAGACTCGATCCATGTCAATAATTTATTTTAATCGACTGACAATGCATGTCTGCAAAAACTTGTGGATAAGCTGATGCTGGGAGAAAATATTTTAAACAAGTCTCAAAAGATTTAAAACTTTTTGCAGTTGAAAATTTAAGAATTCTTATACGTTTCATTAAAATTATACATGATATAAGCATGCATTGCTTTCATGTTACATAAGTTACAATTTAATAGACGCATTTTTAATTTTTTAATTACTATTGTTTCCTTCCTGAAAACCATAATAATTTGTCAGTTATTTTTATGATGTGAGTAAATTTTAAATGGGTAAAATGCTTTGCTCATTCATGCAGGAGAACCTAAATGCAGAAGGGTTACCTTCATAAATAACATCATTGAGCCATTTATATTTATAAGTTTACCTACTCTACCTGAATCATAAAAAAACATTCAGTGCAAAAAAATTTATTGCAATTTTCTGTTTGCTGGTTCAAAAATAGTGCCCTAACTGAAGTATCTGTACCTAATTTGAAAACAAATTATCAGTATGTTTACCACCCTAAAATATGGAATAGCCTTTTTTATCGAAAGTAAGAACCACCACGCCTTCTTGCATCATCTTATATACTCTGCGAAGTATAGGGTTTAGGGCAGGAAAATCCCTTTTATTTATTGTGGGATACTTTGTGGACGCTTGTAATATCCCCAGGAACAAAATGTCGTAAAATAAAAAAGAAGAGGTCCTTAGATGCTTATATAAACTTTGGGTGAATAAAATTAGTCATATAAATACCACAATATTTGTATTTGTAGTAGGTACAAACAATTTTATACGCTATGTAATTTTTGATATCAATTTGGGATGCTTTTGAAAGTAATAAAAGTTTACACAGAACACACAAAGAATTTACATAGAGTTAATAGTGTTCATGAGGGTTATAAAACGTATAGAAATCTTTTCATATTAAAGGAACAAAAAAATAAGGAAATAAAAATTTGACTTACCTATTGGCATACGGTTTTTGAAGAGCATCATTTTTTTGGTTAGTTCTGATGAGGCTTGATTTTGCGAAAGTTTTTAATAAATTATCGTTCAAATAGAAAAAAAATAGAATTGTATAAAGACCCATATTTAACTTGCAAAGATCATAAGAATTCTCGCAAGTAAAAATACAGATCAGCGTTTACTAAAGTTATGATTTTCCTTCTTTGTAAAGAAACTGCAATCATTTGAACGTGAAAAAAAGTTTAAAGTATCTAAGCTAAATTGAAAAGGATCCTGAAATATTAGATGTAAAAGCTGATCTTCCATTCCTGCTATTGATATTTAGTAATTTTGTTCATTTTTATATTGCCTACAAATGCATTTATGACTTTTACAATAAATATCTATGGGATATCCAATAATATTTTGAAATTCATCTACTCGTATATCATCTTTTAACTTTATGATTAAAACTTCCAATTCTTCACGCTGTAAAATTTGTTATAGCATCTACAGGGTGCGAGTGCTATGTTTGGGACAATCGGTAGGTATATAAATAACGAACATTTAAGAGCCCTTAAGGGGCTGTCGAATAGAGAAATCTGCAATAGCCCTTTGAAAATCGATAAAGGCTTTTTGAAATTAACCGGTATTCGTGCAGATGTCTCTAGTAACTCCGGTGCTGCCGGGGCTTATCGATCGAATGTTGATGCCAGCATCAGCCAGTAGAGCGATCCACTTTAGATAAAAATCAACTTGATTTTGTCTGATACGAGTCTGATTTTTCAAAAAATAATCGAAAAGACAATTTTTGTATATAAGAAATTTTTTTGAGAATGTAAAAATGTAATTAGAGTTAGGAGGGATGAAGTAAGGAGTTTTCTTTTTGAAATTAGAAAATAATTTTTGGAATTTTTATATAAACTGTTATTATTTTCATTTCTTATGTAATATTAAAGAAAACTAAAAATGAATAATTTTGTGGAAAGATCGCATGTTATTACAGGAGGCCAGTGGGGTCCTGCACCTAGACAAAGTTGCATTTAGCAGCCGACAATCTCTGAATTCTGATGACCTCCACAGATCCTTCGTCGGATCGTCGTTCGTCCTGAGGCGTCTGCACTAAGCTCGCTACGATGTGATAGTGATCTATGTTTAGAGAGCACCAGCCGGCTTCTGCTCCAATACCTCCAAGTTTTAGTTCTGCACCAAAACTGCTCCTACGTTCATCGTCTCTATCGATCGTCCTGTTCGCTTCGATGCACGTCGGAACGTTCGCTCCACTAATCCCTTTAAACGCTTCCACTGCAACTTATGTGCACTTCGCCGCAAATCTTGAGCTTTAACACTTCCAGAGATAAAAAATATCGCACTAGCTGGCTGAATTAGTTTCATAAAGCTTGGAACATATTTTATTTTTATTAATTTAGAAGATATTTGCTATCCACAATTGTAACTGTAAGATGCAATTTACAAAGTGATAAGTTTTTGGCATTTACATCATCACAATAATAATTTATATAAAAAGTGATGCTGCGCTTAAATTAAAAAAGCTTATTGTGTTGAAGCAAATTTGCATCTACCGCGGCATTGCATAATCAATTACTAAAACGCCATAAAAGCCAATTTACGATGGTTGTCAAAGATTTACGACTCGAATGTCAAATACATTGTATTTACTTTTATTGAAATTTTATTGCCAATTTTATGGACGCGCATTTTTGCACCATGTTTGGTTGGTGTATTGTATTATAAGCGGTGATACTTCAAAATGAACGTAACGGTCATTTGAGTTTTATTGAGGTCGACATTCATTCATATAAATGCACACATAAAAATCCCGATTCCGCTTTTTGAACACATTTTCGAAGATGCTTCGGGTTAAGTGTCCTTTATATTTTCGGAATTTCCGGGTGTTTCTTTTAACGATTTCCTTTTTTCTGCATTTACCCTTTTGTGTTCAACACGTCTAATAAAAATTATTCCTGGATTAATAATTTATGACATTTGTACCACAATCTAGGTACATAAATTTGTTTTATTGTTCCAAATGGCCTCGTTTTTGCTTAACTTTATACAGCCAATAAATCACTTAATAAAATATTACCTCCCTTGTCAACTTACCCATATTTCACCAAATTTATCAAATATATCCTGCAGGGAATGTTTCGTGATAATTTTTATAGATCGTTAAAATTTTACGATCTTACAAGTCTTCCAAATAATTATCGAACAGTACAGGAACTCCGGGCTTTAATTGTCGATTTTAATGTGTCAACAAAAGAAATATTGCCCTTGCTTGTTAACAAACTAAACTCAACAAATCATGAAATATTCTGAAGCAACTACAATCGTTAATTGGTGTTTATTCATTTAACGAGATATTTTACAGACCTTCTGTTTAAATGACTTCCAAATGCCTAAAGAATTGTAATATTTAAGAGAAGAATATTTACCTAAGAATCTTTTAAAGGATCCTTTATAAAGTTAAAGTCCTTTATGTCTCATTATGAAATAGACCGTTAAGTCAAAGAAGGAGTGCTGGTCCAATAATATTTATGACGACTTGGCCTACCAATAACATTTATCGTTTATCTAGCACTCAAAATTTATTGAAAAATGACCGTTGCACGTAAAATTTATCAAAACACGACTTTTATAAGTATAACTTAAAATACAATTCTTTATTTGAATAAGGTATACAATAAAAATAAAAGTAATGTGTTAAGGGGCTTTCAGCACAATCAAATATCGAGTAAAGAAAAAAATAAACATAAAATCGAACGGCCCATCAACAATTCATTCGCGCCATACATAAAAAAGAATCGTCGGTATCATTATGACATTCGGGCGATGACAGCACGAGACAGCCACCTCACTTTTCACATGCCTGCCGTTGAGATAAAATCTGGCGAAAGGCGGCTCCAAAAGATGCCATAAAACTGTAAATGACCGTTTTGTGGTTATTTTACTAAGTACGGTTACGGTGTCATCCGCAGCCCCATTGCGTCCGTCATTTGGTGTCTGTCGCTGAAGGCTCCTATTCTTTCCATTCGTGACTGACAGTAGCGTAGCAATCGCTGAAATTTCGTTCTGAAATAATATAGCACCATATTTAAAAATATTCAAGTAATTATTTATTTAATAAATCTTGTACCTATAGGTAGGTACATATTATTTCCATAGTCCTTATAACTGCTCAATCTCAATCTGCTATTTAAAAATTCTTATTGTATATGCACTTTATACAAGTTGTGTCACCTAAAAAGAAGAAGTAAAGGAAGATATTAAAACTTATGAGGGTTTTATGTTTCTTTCGAAATAACAATTTATATTTAGACATCACTTAAACCGTTAATGGTAAGTTCTGAAAATGAAAGTGATTTCAGAAGTATTATTATTCTTATCGTTTTCACTGTATAACAGTAAATCCAACAATTCAATCTAATCCTGCGTTGATTTAAGAAATACGAAATGGACCATAAAAACCCCGAACTCCCTAATTTTATTATTTTTTTAACTTTTCGTTATTGCGATGATTTATTATGTACCACAATCGTTTAAAACGCAAGATTTACGGCCCAGTGTAGATTTGTTTGAAATATAGTAGCAATGCGTTTTATTCCACCATAAACTGGTAGTAAAATTTTATGACAGTCAATAATCTCTTGTCAGTTCACGCTGAGGCAGTGGTTTTCATTGTAAGTATAATACGAGATAATGTGACTTGTCAAAGATTTAATGAAACCATTTGGATTGCCACTGATAAGATTCACGATGGATGTTTACATTTTTGATGTTTTGTATAATTGTGAGGAGTTTAATTGATTTATTAATTCATTCAATAACTTTATAGCTATAGTTCCTATATTCGTTCGTACATGGGTACTAATTGGTTTGCAATGTCAATTCTTCGTACCTATATGAATTGAACAAAAAAAGGTTATAAAAATTACAGTAATTTATGGACTAAGAAAGTTGCAATCCCACAATAACACTCTTTCTTTTTCCTTCATATGAGACTAATGAAAGTTGTCTTTGTTGTAAATTATTCGCCAGTAGTATGGTCCAACCATTATATTATCATTCTTATGTTAAGATTTTACTAATTTACAGGTTTTAATCAGATTTTATTAATTATTTTATTCTTGTTTCAGAGGCAATGGATTATGGAAATATATTTCTTTCTTTGGTAAGTTTTTTCCAATTAATTTTTAAAAACCTTCTGCTTATCTATATGTATATCTACATGTACTTAAAAATAAACTATTCAATACCAGCGGAAATCAAGAAAAGTTGGACATAAAAAATATTTCTAATTTTCCAAATGAATGTTACGACCATGTTCTTTGCGCCGTTCACTAACCTGCTTAAGTTTACTCGTGCTAATACAGATGGCCTTAGCATCGATCACGTAGGTAAATAGTGTGATATAAACTATTTAATAGATAGAGGTAGATAGTTCTAAATATATCGTTCAAGTTATAATATTTTTATTAACATAAAATGCTTGAATAGATATCCTATATAGGTAATTTAAGGGAATTGAATTTTTCTTATTACATACTTACAAACATTATACAGGGTGTTTTTTAATAACATGCTAATACTGAAGGAGGTGTTTCTTAGACCCATTTTAAGAAAAACCTCGTATGAACTGTATGTCCTAAAACTAAAATTTATTGTTACCTAATTTCTGCACAGCGGCTAATGCAGCGGGAGCGTACAAATGAATGCATTTATTTTTTTTATGATGCGAAACGGTGAGTCGTACGAAAAAAAAGAAATCAAATTTGTTCTAAATTAAACGGCATCCAAAAATAATTTTTATTTCAATAAAAAGCAGTGGTGTACCACTTTTACCTTCAAAAATATTTGGTCTATCCAATACGGACGCCACTGTTGGAAATAAAAATGTTTTTTAGGTCAAAAAATGCTCTTTTGAAATTTCATTTCATCATAATAAAATGATTTTTTTCTTACAACTTTAACACCATATATCTTAAAAGTTAAGACGTTTAATACATAGGTTCATATGAAGTTTTAGCATGTTATAAACAAATTATTAACAAATGTTATTAAAAAACACCCTGTGATAGATAGAGAGATAGAGCATAGATAGAGTAGAGAGATAGAGATTTTCTACCAAAAATGTAAATTCATATTAATTCATAAAATTAATAAAACGTCATGAAAAGTTATTCACTTGTCAATGATTATTTTGTAATTAGTTATAGTTAATACAAACATTATTCGTAATTACATTTTAGATTTAAAACCCCTTCTTTAGGGTAATATTTTAAAACTAATGATACGTTATGGTGCTCAATAAATTATCGAATTAAAAATGAATTAATCAATTTATTTTGAAAAAAAAACACACTGGAAGAGAGCTGCAAATAGAGCGTTCCAAAAAATAATTAATATGTGTTATAGTTTTTTTGGGTATAAGTTTTAGTCGGCTATATTTATTAAAATTGTATAGAAAAAAAAATCTTTAAAGATATAGGACCGGCGTCGATGTCTGCAATTTCCCGCGTGCAACGCGCCTCCTCGTGTTTTTGTATACCAACTACCTAACTCCTACCTACACGAGCGACATCGGCGAGTGTAAAATGTGTTTGTCGTGTGCAAGGAAACGCGAGCAAGAAACGAGCAAGAAACGAGCAACGAGTGACGAGCGTCGAAACGAACGAAGCATCGGGAGAGTGAGTCTGTTCGGTTCGGAGTTGCGTGCTCCGCTCCGAGACCGGAGATGTATCTCTAGGAACGGCATGGCATGGTCGAGGGCCGGCGTCTATCGAGCGCCGCGTGCCGCAGACTGATCGCCCATTGGCCGGAACAGCACCTGCTCGGATTGGCACGGTCGTGGAGGGGCGCCATTACGCTCTAGTACCGCGGATAAGGCATAGAGGGCTATAGACTGAACATACATGGGTCATAAAGGATTCGAAGAAGTAGAGGAGAAGGACGCGTAAGAAATACTCTGCAATAGGGTTAAACGACAACGACGTTGTTGATATTACTCTTAAGTGGCCGGTCGTAAAAACAACGTATAGCGGTGTGCGGTCGTACAATCACACAGACTATGATAAATAATAGTGCGCGACGGTGTAGTGATTGGGGCCTTGCACAACAGCAATGAGTTCCAAATTTATCATCGATAGCATGTTACCTAAGTATCACCAACAATTCCATCACCAGCATCAGTTATTTCAAAGTCCAGTAAGCACATCTTCGATCGAAGCTAGTCTCGCCTCAGTCGTCAACTACAGTTCCTCCGGATCTCCGAGCGGTTCTTCTCCTCAACATTCGAACAGCAGCGCTTCCTCGACGTCGCCCGCCTCCAGGATGTATCCGTACGTGTCAGCGGCCACGGCTGCCGCCCATCACCATCATCAACAGCAAGCGGTGGCGGCAGCCGCCTTCGGCGCGGCCGCCGCATCAGGCAGCATGGTCCCGACGGGTTTCGCATCGAGCGCGAGCACCGCCGCTTTGGCGGCCGCCGCCGCCGTCGACGCCGCTTCCGACAAATCCTGCAGATATACGGCCGGTTTGACTGGTAACGTCGGTCCGGCCGATTCGATGGTTAATTACACGTTGGGCCATCACCATCAGAACGGTGCGGCCGTTTCGGCGGCGGCCAGTTCGGTTAGCGCGGCGTCCGCCTCCATGGCCGTGGCGGCGCAATTCTATCATCAAGCGGCTAGTGCCGTCGTCGATCCGTTGAATTCCTGCTCTCAAACTACGGCGCCCGGCGGACAACCCATTCCTGATATTCCCAGATATCCTTGGATGTCAATCACAGGTAATAATCATCGTTTTACCTATACATAGGTATGATTGCATGCCGCATTGCTATAATAAACCTTATTAGAATGAATTTAATTGCAACTTAAACGCCATTAAATAAATTATTATTGCCCATTATCAAAATATAGGTTGTTTTATTATTCAATAATTATTTAATTACTAATTAATGTTGTCATTAATATTCAATGGCGTTTCTTGAAATTAATTAGCTTAATATTTAGGTTATAATAATTTTAGTTTAATTTAATAGTCTGTTAATTTAACTTCCTTTCTTTATTTATTACAATAGGCACATAGAATTTACACACGCATGCGCCCTATTTTAGGTTTTAAGTATGTCATGCCTATAATGTCATTCGGTTCCTTACATATACTATTTAAGTAGCTATAAATTGACTGAATAGGTAACAAACAATAACATACCTCACCTATTGCAATAAAAAATATTATTAATATAATTAAATGATATAGGTACCTACCTACCTATTCCTAATTTAATTATTGTCATTTGAAGTCTTGAATACAAATTGGTATACCTATAGGTTTTTAAATTAAAGATTCATTGCTTTCATTGTTTTCTTGTATATACTTTATTTTCATTCCTTGAACAAATTGCATAATTAATATTAATGCATTTTTAATCATATATTTTCGAAATTTTCACAATTATTGTTTAAATTATACCTGTATACTAATTACCTACAGCTCAATTAATGTAATTTACAATCTAAACAGTTGTAATCATCTGGGAATTAATGGGTTTGTTAATTGAATTATAGATGTAATGTTTTACGATATTCCGTTGCAACAGATGGAGCTAGTTGTAACAATAATGGATAATGATAATAACATTTATCCTAATTAATGAATACATTTTCCATCCTCACATTAGGAGGTTTTGAATGATCTGTACCTTTCTATCTATAATGCATGCGAGTAATCGACTAATGCGACTTTTTTAATTTATTAATATTTTCACATGATGTTTCACTACTAAATAATGCATGGGTACTCTTGACTATTTGGTATAGTAATGGTATAGTAATGGTAGTACTTGTATTAGATAAATTTACCTATATCTGCTCTATTGTTTAGTTTTATTTATACCAACATTTCATTTGCAATTCCGGAGGCTACGAATTGGGTCTATTATGTGTAGCCTTTTTGCTAAGGTTCTATTGAAATGAGTTTGTTTGATGGGTCTGTTAACTTTAATAGCATATAAACGAGCAACGCATTTTATGGACGTAGTTAAACCAAAGATGTACCAAAGATTAAAAAAGTAGGTAACACAAAAAACATAGATTTTATCTCAATATTGATTATTACAGGTATTGATGATAAAGGTCCCTTATATTCAAAATGTTAATTATTGTGCAAATTGAATCACTGTGATAATATAAATTTGGTTCACATAATATGGCCTATGATGTCAACTGTCATCAACCAAAAAATTTAGGTATACCTAGCCTATACCGGATTGTAAATAAATATGTATGGACTATAGAATACATGACACATTTAATTTAACTTAAAACTGGATGTTTAAGTAATATTTCACTGATTATAATTCTTATATTATGCCATTATAGGTACTTAATCTAATAATATTTTAGACATATGGAAACTATGTATGGAATACCTAGAGGCATACACTACGCATGTCTTTATTAGGACAAGCACTTTTGCCCAATTATGAGATAATAAGAACGAAATCCGCCTTTAAGCAAAATTGGACTACAACTCATAAACAAACTTTAAATGTAATTAAATTTGACAGCAATGGTCGGAAGAAAGTTTTAAGGGTTGCTAGCATTGCCGCAGACCGTAAAACATTTTTATGGGTTTTAAATCGGTCCTATTAAATTTACTCATTCCTTCGGCCATCCCGTCGGACAACAGCTATGCAATTGGAAAGCTATTGGCCTCACAGTGGCCTGGACATTGGAAAAGTATAAATCGATTGAAGGTTTTATGATACTCTTAAATCCGCGGAAGTATACAAAAAAATTGACATTAAATCTATAATTATTTAGATACCTGTTTATAAAATTAACTTACACTTAAATTGTTTGAATAACGTCATACGTGCATGTATTGCAAACTTGTAGATTAAGGTAATTAATTAACTTAATTAGAAATCAGAACTTTTATGAATTCGACCATTTATGGAGTTGAAAATTATAGGAATGTAAATAATGGGTTTTTTCAGTCGATATTTGCTATAGCTTACTATATACAGACTTCAAAATTAAATATTTCCATTGAAAACAAAACTATATTGATGTCAAGTAATTTTATTTGAAGTACCTACCTATTTTAGTTTCAATAACGCCTCCAATAAGCACAACTAAGTTAATGGCATTTCAATAAATTTCATAAATGAAATCATAAATGAAACGACTCAAAATAAACCGTATTATATCGATGCATAGTTATTTAAAAAATATATCAATATAATGTAGCGGTATTACCTAAACATCCATAATTTACTCGATAAAATAAAATACACGTATCTATCATTACGGAAAGTGTTATTATAATGCATTTTAAAAACGTATTACGTTAATCTTATCTGTTTTTTATTTTATAGACTGGATGAGTCCCTTTGACCGGGTCGTCTGTGGTGAGTACAATGGTATATACAATTTTATTTTTATTTATTCGGTTTTGGTTAACTAATATTTAAAAGCAAGCCATACCTAATGTAATTTAAGTCTTCTTATCGATAAAAAAATCCAACTAAATCTATATTAAATCAAATTAGCACTGGTATAAATGTCTCATAAATTTTTAATTTTAATTTATGAATAAGTATTTCCGATTTTTTGAAATTAAATTATAATCAATAAATTAATTGATTGATTGCAGTATAGGTATGTTTTGCTAGTAGTCGATAGATTTTACTAATCATGAATGAATATCCTTAGATTTATTGATTTGAAGATTATGTTCTCTAAGAAATTTTCGTTTCTAATTTTTCTCAAAAGAGAAAAATTAATTGCCGTTACCAAATCTCATCAACCTTGCCTTGAATGAACGTATTCTCATTCGATGTGAATATCGAGTATTATCGTGTATTAAAAATATTAAATGCATTGGCATAACAAAATTATTGTTAATGCACGCATATAACAACGAAAGTTTATAAACAATTTTATCGGATTCTCAGACAATGTTTACTTAAATCTAAATTTGTAATTCTATAAGCACTATATCCTTTTTCAACGGAATACTAAAATCGCCAGACGAGTGTAGGTATCTACTCACGTATGCACCATTACACATAGGCGTTAAAATCGTTATAATTAGATGTAAATAAAAATTGTTCCCACATTATTTTGCGCTTGCAGCACGAAAACAAGAGGAAAATGTTCCGGATATATTTCACTAATATGTCCCTATGTCATATGGATGTTAAGGGAGGTAGAGGGCTTTTAGAGGACTGGAGAAGTCAAGCTTTTCATGAATAGATAAATGTAATGAGTGAAATAAACATTCTTGAGATAACAACTATACACTGATTCTAATGCTTCTAATGGTTCTCGTGATTATTTTTTGAAACTGCAGTATTTTCCGTTTCGGTAATCGTATATAATTTGAAAAAGCAGGCACCTAGGGTTAGGAAATAAATTTAGTCATTGCATCAATCGTTCCGGGAAATCGAAGCAAATTTTCTCTTAATAGGTGAAGTGTTTACAGTCTATGTATTTCAATATTTTGCAGCTATCACAATTTCATTCATCATATCTTATTCCGAATAAACCTCTTCTCAGGGAGACGTGCAATAAACTTAATATTATCTCTTTAATATTCACTTACAAAACCACCTGTAGAGAATAAATTATACCTTCATATCCGCAAAAGTTAATGTCTACGTATATCATATGGTATAGATTATAGATTACCACATACCAATAGGCATATTAGTACCTATTAGTTTGTTGTTGCAAGATAAAATTAGAAATATACCTATCTAATAACGAATTTGTTCTTCTCATAGATCAGTTTATTTCACTATTCCTCTAGGAAATCATTTCTAATTAAGTATATTGGTCACCAAATTATAGAACAAAATACAATATTAAAAATATCGATTCCATCGATAACATTATATTAATGAATATGTTGCGCTGATGTAATTCTAAAGCCATAATAAATTTATGCGATAGAACTCATACTATAACACGGAGCGAGTAGTAGCCTCAAAAACTATTTTGGGTCGTCTTCGTCAATGTAATCTTCTAAATTTGTTTTCTTACACATACGAAACGTGACTGACCTTGTTTAGATCATTTTGACTGCATGTAATTTATAAGGATATGCACTTTACAACGAACTTTTGTTTTGTAACGCGAGATCACAGCTCAACAATGTATATAAGTCAAAACTACGTTTACACCAAATGATATTTAGATAAAGGCTCCAATGATAATATTGGTTAATTCTAAATATTAATTATCTATTAATTAATTGAATGCAATTAATTTATTTTGTGATTTTTATTAATTTTAGAATTAAAGTACCATAACTATACTGTATTAAAATTGTACTAGGTACATAGGTACATATCTTTCTTTACCATACTATAATAGTATATGCTGCATAATCTATACATATATCATGTTAATTGACAAAAATGATTGAATATGTTTCAATAGAGTAAGGAATGAAAACCAAAAATGGTAGCATTTTTAATGTATGTAGTATGTACCACTATTTATATCTAAGAATTTTGTTTATGCTTGTAATTTAATACTCTATGTACTACGTAGGTGTATATGTACGAGTACCTAGTGTATTTTTAGAAACAAATACAATACGAAATGACCATGCACAATCTTTTCTGTGGCAAATTAGTAGATATACGAGTAGATACATTGTTTCATTTTATTGAAACATGGGGTAAAAACATCGTCTAAATGCGAAATCTGAGCCGGATAAATTTCACCACCGCATCCGTAAAAACGGCATAACAGTTGGTGAAAACTTTCTCTAAAAAACCCTTTGAATTAACGTTAGAGATAAGAAAGAGGTAGTAGACAAAAGAAGAGAGAGTTGAGGTAAATAGGATTTTTTTTGTAAAAAAAGGTTTCACACTTATCTCTACGGTGAAATTATCCTCCGAGGAATGTATGAAGGTATACTTTTACTTGTACTTATACCTATAGTAGATACTTGCAGATGCCTATAGTCTTTTTTTGTTTGATATTTGAAAATGTTATCAGTAATTATTACTTTAATAAAGAACATGATTACATGTAATTAAAATCATGGTTGGGAAAAAATGAGGTGATAAAAATAATTCATTCTATTTTAACTTGTTATCTTTTATGAAACCAATACAACTGAATTACATTTTCAATTTAAGAAGCGGAAGCATATACCTAGGTATAAAAAATAAATTAAACAAAATTTAAACCTACGTAAGTGCAATATACTCGGGATTATAAGAAATTCTTGGAATCATTGATAAATAACTCGTGAAATTGCACGGAACGTCCGGTCCAAACGTTAATTTATTTACTCTCATGTTTTTTACCAACGCATAGGCCGACCATTTCAACGAAAACCAAATAAACAATTTTTGTTATTATTTAACGTTGAAAACATATCGCCTAACATTAAGAAAACAAGTATTCGAAACACGATATCGTTTCTACAAAGTTTACGGCAACAAGTTACGTTTATGTGGGTGATTAACGACTTCTGACACGTTTAGTCTCCGGCTATGAGATTTACAAGGAATACGTTCTCGGACAAAAGCTTGTTTTCAGTTCTTGCTTGGAATTTACTCTGGAGGTTGCCAGCCATATTGTTGTGTCACTGAAAAAAAATTCGTTTTGTTTTGCTTTCGTAAAAACTCCAGGAACTGATTCTCGTATGTTTGGTTTTTGTATATTATTTTTGGTTTCTTTCTATAATTATTTTTTTTCTTATTTCCTCATATCCCTGTTTGAACCGTTGCTAGGCTTGATGTCACTATATTTTATTAATAGGTGAGACCTACATATACCTACTACTTTCTAATGTAAAATGTTCCCAAGATTATGAAATTGTTGAAGTACTAAAAAGCGAAGTTTAGGATTAAAACATACTACCTCGGTATTCAGCGCATCCTTATTTTAGGGAATTTTTAACTTAAAGAGTCTCTAACATTAATAAGTAAGATAAACAAGGTATTTAAAGGAACTTCACAAAAAGGAGGCCTGAATTTGGGCTATTATTTTTAATCTTACCTTTAGAACATCTATCCTCTATAAACATAAGTAGGTACTATACATTATAGCGAGATAACTGTTAATAATAGAGAAGTTTGATTCATAAATTTTTATCCTCTGTATACTAAGCCTAAATTATTAGGTGTCTAATGTTTTCGAATCGTTATTTCATCCTAATAATAATTCGTTTATCTCATCATTTGCAACTCCTTTAAATCTTCAACGACAATTTATGAATATCAGTACATTCTTTCCATATTAATTTGAAGACTTTGATTAAATTTTTCAATTATAGGCACTTTTTTCTCAATTAAGTAGTACATTTACCATTACGGAATCTGCACATTTAGATACTTTTAATTATACTGTTTTTTAACCATTTTCATATTTTGCTCTATCAAAATCAACACTATTTTCATCAATTTACGCTAAAACCACAAGCTCAATCTTGAATGTCCGGTTCTGTCTGATTATGCACTATTTTTACGCCCGTCGTTCGGCGGAGTGGAGGGAACTTATTTAAAGCTCAGTCGAGCTGTGGAATTATCAACGAAAAAAAAAATCACGGCACTCAATTGCGGCGAGCGAATAAAATGTCCTTGAACTTTAGCGAAAACGCTTTCTGAGCGTTTTATCGCGATTGTCTGTCAGCGTATCCTATAAATGTTTTGCGTTATTGCACCGAATGTGAAATCCTTGACATCAAACGGCCCCAAGAATGGCCTATAAACAATTCGAGTGGCAATATTCATTTGTTTAATGTAAAATATTATGTCGAAAACAAGCTGTTAGCGGGTTTTTTGTACCATATCAAATACCGTTTAATATTTTTATGAATGCAAAAACGAAAATCCGATTACGAAACGACATACATATTGTTATAAGCGTTGATGGTAATAAATTGTCCGATACGTTTATGAATGCGTTACGTAATTATAAACTTTTGAAATTTTTATGGAAATCGAAATATTTATTTTTGTAATATTTGTTGTTAATTTGCAATTATGACAGTAGTAATTCATGAACGTTAATCGCAAAATATGTGTAGGTTTCATCAGTCCATTCACCCGCTTGTAGATTATACCTATCAATTGCATAAATTAAATTCATACGACGTACACCTTTCCATAAACAAAGTTTAAAAGCCTTGATGTAGTGCCAAAAACTAACTACTTATGAACGTATTTCATTTTACTTTAGCACCGCCAGAAACATTTCCCAATGGCCAACTTATTCATTTCTAGTGCATTTTAGTGGATCTATAAATATTCCATTTCACTTATACAAATCGATAAATCGATTTTATTTTTTTATCTGTTTGTCTACCTTCTGTTTTTGTTTGTTACGAATTATTGTTATTGGTGTTATTGGTGTTCCTGCTATTTCACCAAATTAAATTTAAAGAAGCAAACAAAGT